GAGTTCCCGCCCCACGGGCCAGTGACGGTCGGCTCTCGTGCCGGGGTTGCTGACCCGATGAATGAGACTGATCGTTTGTCGTTCGAACTGTGCTGAGGCGAGTCCTTCATCGTGGCTGGGTGCTCAACTCAGTGACGGGTAAACAGCTACCAGTGGGTCCCGATCGACTGGTTGGTGAGCGCTGTCCTAGGACACGTGGCCGGCACCTGGCACTGGGCTGCCATTTTGACCCCCATATTCCCCAGAATGGGGGATGCAGAACAAACAGTTCCCGCCCTGGGGAAAGACCATGGACCATGTGAGCGTTGGGAAGCTTCCGCCCTCGCTTGTCTGGAGCCCCTGAGAGGGGGCAAAGGGCCGGGCGCCCAGCTCAGGGTAAAGTCTCTGGCCTGAAGATTCTGCCTCGACCAAGATCAGCTCGTTCGGGGGGTCTGCTTGCCCTGCACTGGCGTGAATGAGCACAGGCCGCGTGGGTCCTCGTCACTGCCACTTAGTCACTTCCCGGCTCATAGGCTTTAAGGTCAGAAGGGCCCATTCTGATCATCTGGTCTGACCCCCTGCACAGCGCAGGCCACAGAATCTCCCCACCCCTCCCAGAATAATCCTCTCACCTAGATCTCAGATACTGAACCCTTCAAATACCTTGAAGACCCCAAGATGCAGAGAATCCTCCGGCTGTGATCTGTGCCCCACGCTACAGGGAAGGCGAAAAACCTCCAGGGCCTCTGCCAATCGACCCTGGAGGAAAATTCCTTCCCCACCCCAAATATGGCGACCAGCTGAACCCTGAGCATGTGGGCAGGACCCACCAGCAGACACCCAGCAACTCCCTATAGCAACTCCCGTCTGTTTTCACGGGCAGCCACGTAACCCCCTTCGCAGGGCCAGTGCCGGAGCGGTTGCTATTCCCCCCAGTGTAAATCACTGTCCCTGCGGGGAGGGGCCATTGCGCACCCCCCTTCCCTGTCTCTGAGAGAGGCTGCACGTCCTCGCGGGCTGTGCTGTGAAACTTACGCGGAGCAGGACGGATTTATCTGGGCTCTGACCCCTTTCGGGGGCTGGGCCCTAGAACTGCCCCCTCCCAGCACTGCAGCGGGTCAGTGTCTGCCTGGCTCTGCGGGGGGGTGACCCCGACTCTGTGCCTGGCCTGGGGAGAGCAGCGTCTGACCCAAGAGCGCACGGTGACAGGGAGCCCCTGAGAGCAGGCGTCAGTGGCGTGATCGGCACACGGGGAACATTCCCGAAGGGGCTCCTGTGACTGCAACCCCGTGACACTGGGCCCGTCGCCAGGTGAGCTCTGGGCTCCCGTTTCCAGCAGGAGAGAGAAGCCCCTTTGCAGATGGTGCCGTGGCCCCAAGCAGCACTGACAGCTCCGTGCCTGGGCCACTGGGCTCGCTCAGTCCAGTCTCTCTCTGTCCTGGGTGCGGACGTGCACCGTGACGCTGGCCGTGACCAGGGCTCCCAGCACCACCAGCAGGAGAATCCCCCTCACGTGGCAATAGGTCAGTGTAGGGCTTGGCCCCGCTGGGACATCAGTGCCTGGGGGGAGGAACATGATTGGATCAGGCAGGGGGCGATGGGTGACGCCCTGCGCTTGCTGCACCCATGGAGTGAGCAGGGAAAGGGGCCGGGGCGCCTGGGAACCCCTGACCCATGCTGCAGAGAAGGGGAATCCCGCCCCCAGGGTCTCTGCCCGTCTGAGCCAGGGGCAATGCCTCCCCCATCCCAGCTTGCAGCCTTTGGATCTCGTGCTGCTTGGGCTGGATCAAGGTGCCCTCTGCTCTGAAACCTCAGACACTCGTGGGCCCAGAGCCGGCCCCCGTCCACCTTCCCTGACACCGAATGGAGGGAGCGTCTGACGTCTCTTCGGACACAGACACGACTGAGCACAGACCAGCCGGAACCAGGGCTGGCTGCTCTGTAAGGCCCTTTCATGCTGCTAGCGGAGAACAAAGGGGCCTCGGCGTTAGTGACACTCCGGCTGCAATGGGGGTGACACTGAGGGATGTTTACCTGGGGCTGGGAAGCCGCACACCGATTGGAGCTCTACAGTGTTCTCGCCCCAGCTGGCTCGGTTACTGGCGTTACATCGGTAGAAGGTCTCGTTGCTGTCGGCATCGATCACCAGCCGCAGCAGGGACTGGTTCCCATGGAGCTGCTGGTCCCTGTCAGGCGGGATGGGGGATGTGCCGTGGGACCAGCTGTAGGTGACTGCGTCAGCACCAGGCACGGAGCAGGACAGGGTGAGGTTGCACTGGCCGTGCTGCGTGTGGGCCGAGAGCACCGTGAGGTTTGGCTGCCGGACGCGCTCTGGAAGGAGAGACCCGGGTGAGAGATGCCGGGGGAGGCGGCTGCCGTCGGTCACATGCCCTGGGGAACGGGAGTTTGAGACTCACCAAACACAGAGACACGGAACGTGGTGCGGTCGACACGGCCTCCTGCCGCTGTTATTTCCAAGGCGTAGAGGCCTCTGTCTGACTTGTTAACTGGATCAATCTGCAGTGAGAGATTCTCAGGGTGCAAAGTGACTCTGCTGGCAAAATGCAGGACTGACCGGAGGTGAGGGGCTTCCCCTTTATTAGCTGTTAGGAGCCGATACGTCTCTCCTGAGTCCAGTGTAACCTCCCAGGAGATTTTTACCCAAGATTCTGGCCACGTCACTGGCTGTAACTGGACGGATTCCCCTGCGATTGCAGCCACGTCCATTTCTCTGCACCCTGGGGGTTCAGAAACACACGAAGCAGGAGGTGAGTGAAGGGTTAACTGGGCCCGAGTGTGTCAGGGAATCGTGGGCTAAACGGGATCCTGGCCTGGCCTGGCCTGGCCTGGCTGGGGAGAGGCAGGGGGTGGAATTTCGGGCTGGTGGAAGGGGCTGGACGGATCAGTCTGCAGCCCTGTTAAACCTCCCGGTGGCTGCACCCCTGGTTCCCCCTCCCCGACTGGAATTTTAGCTGTAACTTTACACTGTCACAATTTAAAGATCTATTTTGAAAAAAGATAGTTATTTTTCACTTTAAAATGGGTTCTTTACCTATAAGCCCATTCTGAGCAATAGAAGAGGATATTAAAGCTTTGAGATTTCATTATTCAGACTGTAAGCTTATTTAGGGAGGAGTCAGTGGGAGGGGGCAGGGTGATGCTGGGAGAGGAGGGGGAAGGGCACTGGGGGCTGGGGGGGAGGTGTCAGTTTGCTATTGAAAAAGTAAATCAATGTAACAGAAAACTGCAACGCTCTCTGGTAACTTTTTAAAAATCAAACTTTAAACTTTATTGAAAAAATTGGATAGTTTGCAAATGAAAATATTTGGCCTTCAGGCAACTGATTTAATTTTGTGTAAAATTTTGCATAATAAAGGATGGCATTCTATTTTTTTTTTAATGTTCTACTATGTTTTGATCAGATCTACTTCTGCTGTGATATTTGTGTGTGGTTGTGGTTTGTTGTGTGGGTGCCTGGTTTTTTTTGGCTCAACAAAAAATCCTGGGGGGGGGGCCCCGCGGCTGCTGAATTTATCTAGTACTGGTCTCCCCATCTGAACCCCAGCCCGGCAGGGCAGAGGAGCAGGGATTGGTCCAAACTCGGGCCTGTTGCCAGGTGAGCGGCTGAGCTCCTGTTTCCAGCAGATGGCGCTGTAGCCCCAAGCAGCACTGACAGCTCCGTGCCTGGGCCACTGGGCTCGCTCAGTCCAGTCTCTCTCTGTCCCGGGTGCGGACGTGCACCGTGACGCTGGCCGTGACCAGGGCTCCCAGCACCACCAGCAGGAGAATCCCCCTCACGTGGCAATAGGTCAGTGTAGGGCTTGGCCCCGCTGGGACATCAGTGCCTGGGGGGAGGAACATGATTGGATCAGGCAGGGAGCGATGGGTGATGCCCTGCGCTTGCTGCACCCATGGAGTGAGCAGGGAAAGGGGCCGGGGCACCTGGGATCCCCTGACCCATGCTGCAGAGAAGGGGAATCCCGCCCCCAGGGTCTCTGCCCGTCTGAGCCAGGGGCAATGCCTCCCCCATCCCAGCTTGCAGCCTTTGGATCTCGTGCTGCTTGTGCTGGATCAAGGTGCCCTCTGCTCTGAAACCACAGACACTCGTGGGCCCAGAGCCGGCCCCCGTCCACCTTCCCTGACACCGAATGGAGGGAGCGTCTGACGTGCCTCCTCGTGAGATGCATTTCCCAGGCCTCAGACTCTTGTAGCTCTTTCCTGAACCCTTGCCAGGGGCACAAGTGTGAACCCCGCCACATTAGCTACAGCTGCTGTCAAATGTGACTCCCCCAGGGCTGGTGGCTGCCGATTGTTACCTGCACACACGTCCTGCAGGGAGACGGATCTTGAGCTGCTGCTGACGGGGTTCCTGGCCGTGCAGGTAACAGAGGCGCCCTCGTCTCCCAGTCTGTGCGAGATGTGAATGGACGCCCCCGTGGAGATGACAGTGCCGGCCTCTGTCTGGTTCCAGGTGCAGTTCACGTCCTCTCCTGCCCCCTGCACGGTGCAGTTCAGGGTGATGCTACATGTCCCATTCACAGTGTTCACTGAGCCCAGCACGGGGGTGACTGTGATGTCCGACTCTGCCAGTCGTTCTGTTTGGGAGAAATAGACAAAAGGCCAGAACGCCAGTGGGAGGCGAAACAAGAGCAGATTCTTACAAGCGTGTGTCTGAAACCATGACAGGAGCCCCCATCAGAGCATCCCCAAAGCTCTGGAAAGGGGAAGCCCCTCTCAGATGCGTAGCAAAGATGTTAAGTGTCCAGGGCCAAAAGCAAAATGTGTGCTCCTCCCTTCCCCTCCGCCGCCATGCGGCAGGGCCAGGACTGGGTGCATGGCTGAGCCTGACCCTGAGAGGAGGGGGGAGCTTGTACCACGTCTTCGCCCGCCCGCTCCAGTTTGGGGCAGGCCCCCACATGCACTATCCCCAACAAAACAAGGAGGGACTCAATCACTTCAGTGAGGCCAGCTCCCTTAGAATTGAGGCCCGGATAATCGAGCACCAGCTGAGGCAGAGCGAGCACTGTGTGCACCTCTGATATCTTTGTACCGACACTGCTGCCTGCCCAGCTTGCCGAAGGAGAAAGGAAACAGGGAGGCCACAAGGAATGGTTTAGAGCAGCGTTTCTCAACCTTTTTTAATAAAGTACCCCCCTTTAAAAAAATTACAAGTCCCCCCCAAGTCTCTACAGTTTTCAGACACACACAATTTTTTCTACCATTGCAGCAAATTTGTTTAAGTAAATTAATCGTTGCCAGGCAGGTGCTGCCATTTCTGGGCGTAAAAAGTACAAAAATAATAAAGCGCTGTAGAACTTAAACCAAAAATCAGTTTTCTCCAAATTTCAATTGTGTTGATGGACCCTCCAGACGTCTCTCGAGTACCCCTGGGGGCGTTCGTACCACTGGGTGAGACACGGGGCTAGAGCCGTGTGTTTCTACTTTGTTTAATAAAGTGCCCCGTTAAAAAAATTATAAGTACCCCAATGCACCCACCCCTCCCCCCGAGCCAGGT